TCATCCTTCCAAATGGTACCAAATTAAATTCGCTTTTATATGCTGATGATTTAATTATTATATCACGATCTAAAATCGGATTGCAGAACTGTCTCAACACATTATCCTCTTTTTGCAACTCTTGGATGTTAGATATAAATTCCAAAAGACCAAAGTTATGGTCTTTCAAAAACGAGCGAAGAAAAACTCCAATCTAGAATTCCATATAGGTAAAGAAACCATTGATACTGTCCATGAATATACATATTTAGGAACCCGTATCTCCTCAACCGGTAATTTTAATATCTCCCTCGAACACTTGAAGGAGAAGGCTCTTCATGCTCTTTTTAGTTTAAGAAAACACACAAACTTTAGCAAATTAAAACCTTCTCTTGCTTGCAAAATATTTGAAACGATGATTTCCCCGATATTATCATATAATAGCGAAATTTGGGGTGTATATGTAAAACATGATTTTAAAGCTTGGGACAATACCCCAATTGAAAAAAACCCACTTGAAATTTTGCAAGCGTTACCTAGAAATAAGCAATAAAGCTTCAAATGTTGCAAGTAGAAGTGAATTGGGACGGTTCCCATTAATTATTAATATTTATAAAAACATCCTTTATTACATATTGTATCTTCTGCGTAAAAACGAGGATACTATTGTTAAACAAGCCTTTCGTACTTCGCTAGAACTTCACTGTAATGGTAAAAATAGCTTTTACAATAATCTTACGAAAATATCTGAATATTATGACCTCCCTGATTTTGATCCTAATAATTTAAGTGAAGCTAAGATCAAACACTATATAGATATAATAAAACAAAAATATATTGCATATTGGCAACATACAATCCATCATTCTAAGAAACTACAATTTTACAGCTTATTTAAACATGATTATAAAATTTCAAGTTATCTAGACTTAATTAGAAATTCTGCGAATAGGAAAGATTTAGTGAAAATTCGTATAAGTAACCACAAACTCATGATTGAAACTGGAAGATATAATCACACTTCCCGCAACGATAGACTCTGTCCTATTTGTAACTCTGGTATAATTGAAGACGAATTTCATTTTCTCTTCCATTGTCCAAAATACTCAATCCCAAGGGAGAAATTCTACGATCAAATCCAACAAAATTTTGTCGATTTTGATCAGCTATCTTACACAGAATTAATAATTAAATTGATGAATTCACAGAATTTTTCCGTAAATTCACATTTGTTGAAATTTGTCTCATTATGTAATGATTTACGTAATAATTTGTTATCAAGTCATGCTGATGACACTTGATTGACTACAGTCATCATTGCATTATCATTGTTATGATTTGTTTGTTTGTTTGTTTGTTTTTTTCATATTAAAGCTTTTGCAATACTGTAACTACATAATTATAGTCATGCAAATAAAGCTTATGTTGTTGTTGTTGTTGACTGAAGCATTTGTTGGCGTTGCTAACAGGGAACTTAAGGCTATGTTCACAATGTAGCGGATAGATATATAAAAACGGTGATTTCGGCGCGATTTATGTATGGAGCGATACTGCGTTGGGCCAATGTTGAAGATTGAGAGTCCTCGGATAGGTGTTATATAACACCTATCCGAGGACTCTCAGTCTTCAACATTGGCCCAACGCAGTATCGCTCCATACATAAATCGCGCCGAAATCGATGAAGCGGCCGACTCAGCTCTAGCCTGTTCCAGGCGTTTAAAATTTGGAATGCGGCACAAAGTCGGAGCGGCGGGGGAAATAAATAAGGAGGGAGAGGTGGAGAGAGGAGTGAACCTTCCTCTGCTCGGCTCAACCCACGCAGTTTTTCTTTTCACATCTTTTTGTGCTGTCCCCAGAAACTGAACGCCTGGAACAGGCTTACACGGCTCAGTTGACCTGGGTAATGACTATTTAACGAATAGATTCCATGTTGCAGTGCGCGGTGCACAGGTTCAGCAATTCCAGATGAAGTTCTGTGATCTATTAGTGAACAGACCCAGGGTTACATGGAATCTATATGTTTTACACAATGAGCAGAAAAGAAACAACGACATAATTGCCTCGTACCGCTTTACTGTTCGAGGATTTGTCCTAGATTTTCAAGTCGTCAAGAACTTGTCTCGGTTTATTCTTTTTTGTTTTTTTCCTATTTATAAACATCTCGCAGTAAGCCATCTTTAAAGGTTTTCACTTGCTTAAAATAAACTCGCAAACAATTTCAAAATCGCGTCCATGTTGAACAAAAAATAGAAAAGCAAGTCCCCACGTCATCCATGTGTCTGTACTCTAATATATCATCACCACATTGTAAAAATGCGTGATCAGTACATGGATATTGTGATCGTTAGATGGGTACATGTAACTTGCGAACCAGCACCCAGGTATGAGATCTCGCTCAGGAGAATATTGTGGTCCACGCTCTTAAAAACTTTTAAAAGATCAAATAGTGTAACGGTAGAAATCTATTTAGCGTCCATGGCCAGTCCGTGTTCATCTTTGTCATCCGTTGCAAAAAAGACAGCAGGAGACAGTTTAAAAGGCCAAATATGAAGTTTTTAACAACAAACCTCGGGACCATTATAATTGGAATTCAAATGATGCGCAGTAACTGAAAGGGTTTTGCTTTCTGAGAGCCCTGACGTAGCCTTTTAAGACAGTTTTGTTTAAAGTAATACAAATTGTTTGACTGCTGTTGTGATCATAAGGGACTGTGCAATAATTATCAGGAGGGGGGACTGAAAAACTAGAGTTATCTAGCAAAAACTTAGACAGTACCCCCCTCCAAAACAAAAAAAATTAGTTCTAACCCCCCCTCTGTTATGTGAAAAATAACGTCACACCCCCTCCCACCACACTGGTAAACTCAAAACTGGACTGAGCTGCCATCACAGCTTCAATAATAACAAACGTTATTATGTAACATCTAGTATCGAGAAGGATGTTGATCGCTTGACTGAAGATTTAGACAAAGCATTTGCTAAGTACTGGGGTGCTTACCACATTGGCTCAAAATCTAAAATTTCTGAAGCCAGAAAGAGAAAGGAGAGGGGAAAAAATCAAAGAACAGGAGACTGAACGCTTCAAATAACAGACGAAAAAGAGCTTGCATTATATTTAGATCCTTGGGAGGAGAGCCTGTTGAACTTTGTTATGAGCCACATATATATGGAATTCTGCAAATCGATTCAGTCGATGAAGAAACATTACTTTTTGTCACATCAAAAGCCGACAAAGCTTGTCTACGAGATCTGTTTGATTCCCATTGTTTTATGGGGGAAGCTGAAAAACAAGTTCATGATTTTTGCTTTACATAGGATCAGCTCAATTAATTAGAAGACGGGTTAAAATTGATCAGTTGTGAATTTGCTTTTCATTTTGATGGAATATTTTCAATAATCGTTTAACAGCTGTTCGTGTTGATATTTGTTACAGTCTATCATGATGCCTGTATTGAGAATCTTTTATTGCGTTTAATTTTATTTACATTTCGAATAAAACTTAAGGCCCCCCTCCGTCAAATGAGTGATTTTACTTTGAGCCACCCCTATCTTGGCAGCAATTTTATGTAATGCCCCCCCCTCTGGTTTTAGGGCCCCCTCCTGATAATTATTGCACAGTCCCTAAGTCGAACGTTAAACGAGCTTATCAAAAAGGATTGATCATAAATAATCAAAAACAAGCTTGCTTGTAGCATTTACGTTTTTTAATGATAACAAAGAAGAAGAAGAAGGAAAAAAAGAAAACACTTAGACACATTCTCATAAGTAAGTAAACTTTATTAAACTCGGCCTTGAATATACTAAGGCCGATCTGTCGAGGCCTTTTATTTACCGGGAGCGTTTTTTAATTGTAGTGCAAAGAGATTTTCATGGGGATTTGCGAGTCGAGGGTGTGTTCGGGCAACTCGCTCGCTTAGCCATGAGATACCAGGAATCTGCTTTACACTGGTCTTTACTGTTTTTTGACTTTTGCTAACAATCTTAATCTTAATCTTCTTACTCCTCTTCTCTACTCAATCCCTACTCGGCGGTGAGTGAGTAGTTCAAGTGTAGTAGCGGTTTTTATAGTCAAAGCTGGACATTTTTGGGTAACTGACCGTGGGAATAGAAACAAGGTAAACTCGCGGCCGTGCGGGTAATGTTTTGGTATTACTGAACATACATGGCTGCGATTTACAAGGAGCTACAAAGCAATGAATAACTAAAACGCTGGTTAACAATCCCAAAGAGGAACTTCAACGAGACTATGAATGAACCAAGGTCAGCTCTGACATGAAAAACACGACCACCTATGAAAAACGAACATCTGACAATGGCAAGAGAACAATTATTCCTAATTAAAATGGCATTATAAAAGAAATCCGCGAGCTACGCAAACATTCAAGTGCAAGCCTGAAAATCACAAAATAAACAAAGGAAAATACCTATGCGCACCAAATCCAAACTAACCTTGACTCACCTAACATAATAGAAACGAAACATAGAAGAAATACAAATCTTAAAAACAACTATTAAAATACTTCACAGCAATTGTAAAAGTTTTATTAAATTGACCTAAGCTGACGTGATTTCTTTCTTTATAACAGTGCAGATTCACGTTTTCATTGTTTTTTTTTTGCGCTAATTTCAGTCGAAATTGGCTGTTTCCAGACAAGTGGCTCTGGCTGGGGAAAAAAAATGTGCTTTTTTTAAATCTAAAAATGGATAAACAATTAAAGTTATAATGAAATTGAAGCTTAATTACTCTAGTAAAATAGTAATTTACGGGAAGGACAAAAAAATCATTATCAATCAGTTACTTTCCTTGACTAAAAATAAGATAACGTAAAAAAAAACTTAAATAAGCAAGGACTATATTCCTGTCTCGTGTTTAACAAAGATCAAGAAAACAAAGAAAGAAAGATTTTCTACGTTGTCGAGAAATATACATTGGGAAGTACATTTTTTTGAAGGTAGTAAGTATGTTAATATAGCTGCATGTTTTTTGGCCGTAAATAATTAATGAAATGGTTCTTTTTATATTTATTGAGTTGGGTCAAGATAAAATACCTCCACCTCATCAGGTGAGAACAATAAAGTCCCGGCCAGGATTGTGTCCGGGTCCTGCACTGCAGCAGGAGCAGGGTAGGCCCAGCCAAGGCGTGCGTATGAGCGGCTGTAACCGTTGGCATTATTAGCAATTGAGATGTCGGCACCAAACCATGGACCATACCCTGACCCCCTGTCAATTGCATGGTATGGACTCCTCACCTCACTCACAAAGGGATCCAGTTCTTCTTTATTGCTAACTGAAAAAATAAACGCCTTGCGAGTGAAGCCCCATGGCCAGCGATCACTGGACTCTAACAAACCAACAAAACGTAAGTATTAACTTTTGAGTAAACACTGTGGTGTAGTTACTCTGTAGTGTATTTTCCATAGTTTGAATTTATTTATTTATTTTTATTTTTATTCTTGACTTTAAATGAATTATCATAAACTAAAACAAAACAAATTAAATAAGAACCATGAGTGAAATGGAATCACACATTTTTTTCAACTTTCGTTTTTTTTTCTTATTTTCCTCCCTTTGTTTATTGTATTGCTATTCCTTACAGTTAGTTATGAAGATGGACATAGTCTTTAAAGACAGATATACAGAGATGATGTATGATATACGCCAATGATAATGCATTTCTTATTTGCATTGACATGTGATGTAACTAACCTTTCAGACCTTTTCCTTAGGGATAAGGGAACCAGTAAGGGATAATTGAGAAAATAATTTTTGGGGATAATTGAATTGTTTTAGGGAGTAATGAAAGTTCATCATGGTTCTACATTAATTATGATCTACACTTATTTTTCTCCCCTTTACTTTTATTGGTTATAGGATCGCAAGCTGGATAATAAGGTGGGAATATCTTTGCCGCCAAGAAAACCCATTTTACTATATTCGCAAAACCCACGAGACAACGGCTGCATGGTTATTGTGTTTTTGTTAGCACTCGAGAAGAGTCTTTGTGAAATCGCCGCTTGTTTACACGCGTAAAAAGTCGCCTCTGGAAACGGATTAATCGAGCCTTTGCAATGCCATAACAATCACAATGACTATTGCATCTTTTCAGCTACAGTTATACCTTCTTTAATTCTAACATGAATGTAACTACAAAAATTTGTGGCAAACATTTTTTTTTTCTTTCCCACAAAAAGTGCGCGGAAAGGGGCAAGTTTTTCCCCCAGCACCTCCCCCTGCGTGTTCCCTGACTTTAAACTAGATTCAATTTACTAAACTTCAACTTGACTGCTTGGAGGGTTGGGAGGGGGGAGAAGTGGGGTACTCCCATATTTTGGCTAGATAGGTATCTGACGCCCGAAAAAGTATGGTATTTGAGGGTCTTATTCTTCCATACTGAATCAATTTTTCCCTTGTTAGTGTTGTGTTCCCGCCGTTATCAATTGGTTAACATTCAAGAGTCTACAGGTATAAATGCCCAGCTACACGAGAAAAAAAAAATGGTCTGTTAGCTGAACTTTACCTTAGAGTATCATGAAAGCGACCTAATGAAGACTTTTTCGGCGTTTCTTTACTCACGGTCTTTTCTTCGCGAGCATGACTGACAATTAATTTACGAAAAGGCCTTCTGATCACGCAGGGTATGTGTCGCCTTTAAATTCTTAGTTTGTGTTTTTTTTCCTTGAATTGGGTCTCATTTTGTAGGGGTGCGCCTCAGAAGAGCGCGTCCCCGTAAGAACCGACCAGTGATTTCGGATCAAAAAATTAGTTTTCTTTATATTCTGGGATATTAAAGTCTTTACATAATTAGGTACAAAAATGCATTTTGTTTGACCGAAAATGCGAAATATAATTTTTTACGAATTTTTGAATTTTCGGCCGGTTAGCACCGACGCATTATAGCCTTTGAAACTACAAAAATCGCCTACATTGCCGGCGCTACAGAAAACAAACAACTTGTTCAAGAAGCCCGATTTTCTTTTTAATACATGTATACGGATACACCACTCCAGATGTCCTAGCCATATCACAGTTCCGAATTATTTATTCATTTTAACGGCACGAATCTTTTTCTTGGCACGTGTCATCAGCCTTCCATCAAAACACGAAAATAGCTCAACTTTGAGGGGAGTTTAAAAAAGTGTGGCACCCGTCTGAACGTTGCTATATGCATTTTATACAAACTAGAAATGGTAGCAAACCTAAAAAGGAATAATTTTTTTTTTTTACGTTTTCGAATATGACCGCCGTTTGAATTTCCAGAAATTTTGAAGACCTGATAATTAACGAACACTTGCCTTGTGCTTTGCTCGTGAAAGTCAACTTCACTTGATGGCTTGATGGATCTCACCTTAGTTCTTTTTCATTTTAAGGTTATTTCTTAATCGTCTGAAATTATATTGGCCGTTGATTCCGTGTTTATACTTGTTTTGTTGCGATGTTATCCGGTTTGTAAAATGGTCGTATCCGCGAGTTTGACTGGTTTGTGACACCCGACCTCGAGGTCTTTACTAAAAATAGTTTTTCTTTAGGATCGACTCCTCAAGATATAGCAGTAAAATTTCTTGGGCAAATAAAACTAATTTCTTTGCAAATGTGACGCGATAAGACGCTAAGAAAACAATTTAGCCCAGTTATCTATTTGAAATACTTATGCGTAGTTGTATGCGTGACAAGGCCAGTCCTTGTGGACTGGACACGAAGCAGACAAGAGGGTCTCAATGGAGATGTGGCTTTTACGGCTTTCGGCTAAAATTTTGGCTCTTTTACGGCTTTCGGTTAATTTTTTTCAGTTACGGTTAACAAAAATGTTAAAAATTAATTCCTTTTGTTTCAAAGAGTGAAATATTAATAAACCTCTATTTTTTTATCTTTAACGGAAAATAAAGATCTTAGGACCATCTCGGGGTAAATTTAGAGAAAATGTAAGGATTTTCTTTCCCCACGGACAAAGCAAACTGTCCTTAATAACGAGCTGTTGTTGTTGTTGTTCTTTTAACCCTTAGCGAAGGAGTGTACAGACCGACTGTCTGCTGTGGCCTTGGGAAAATCAAATTGTAGAGATTTTTGAGGTTAAACATATTCAGTATGTACGTTGCAGAAAGAAAGAAAAGATATAACGAACCACTTAAAATACAAACTGATATTCGTCAGGGCGGGTCTGTTCGTATGTGTGAGACATAATTGATCATTATTTGGGCTGCAACTGGCTCGAAACTGTCGCCCTTTAAGGACGTGTCAATATCTTTTTTTTTTGTTAGGAGCAAGGAAAAGCTAAAAAATGATCATGTAACGTCACCCAATTTTTGGAAACACAAGTCCTACTGGGTCCGGTAGGCTTTCTACTGCGCTACTTTGCGTTTTCGCTTGCTTTTGAGGAGAAAAGATTGGTACAGTTGGTTATTGCGCGGCCTTCTATGGGAGAAGTCTAAAGGCAGATCCCCAATGTGACCTCCAATCCCTTTTTCGACTTCTTACCTTTCCGTGTAGCCTCAAGTAGTAGTGTTTAGAAGGGTGGGTGTAGGGCTCAGGTTTGGTTCAGAGGTAAGTCATGTCTCTTTCGAGGTACGGACTTAGCTTTTTACCTTTCAGCTGAAAACAAAACAACTCTTCAAGTCATAGTAAATGTCACAGTATTCTTAATGCTGATCAGGAGGCGATAACCTGTGCCGACTGAGTTGTCTAAGAGACTGTACATCCAATTTTACATAAAAAGAAGGTCGAGAGAATAACTCTTGAACTTTTTCCTTAAACCTTTAAAAGGAATTGTTCCATTACGTGTTTGATTTTTCCGGTTATATTATTAGCCTGTGTAGTTTTGGTCTGGCGCGCAGTACAAGCTTATAATTAAGGCGGGCGAGGGCTGTGAAACCACGAGGAGATTGGGGCGGGAGCACTGCTCGTTCGTGCGAGCTTCGCGCGACAAGACCGCCATTCTACGCAGGCTAGTTTATTTTGTAAAGTAGTTCTGGATTTTTGCTTTATGTAAATGTGCACGGAAGGTTTTTACAAACTATTTATTTTTTCTGCATCCAGTTTCTAGTATTCTTGAAAGTCAATTTAATATTAATAGACATTTCGCTTTTAGTAGAGAAGATGAACATGACTCAGGAAACAACGCGGAAATTTGGCAATTTTACTTAATAAAATCAATTTTTATTCTAAAAGTATTTTTCGAGACCTCGAATCCTACTAGGGAATAAGACTGTTTTGAGTTTATTTTGCCAATCAACCCGTCATAATCAGTGCAAGTCGCGATTGTCTTGGTCCGAAAAAATACTTCTCTGCTATGAGTCGATATGAGTCGAAAGTCAAGCTCATCATTGTCGTGATACAGCTATTTGCAGTACTTCGGTCAAGACGCAAAAACAAAAATTTGGGGAAAATAAGAATTGCAATTGGCCAGAGGAAATTACTCAGGGAGCAAATGTACAGAAGAACAGATGAAGGGACAATGTATTGTATCATTATAAAAATTTCTATTCAATCGGTAATTGGTATTACAAATAATTTTGAAGCCTTATGCACATCATTGCTCAGATACTACCCATGGTATACTCGTCGCACCTGGATTGAGCCACAGTCTGCAGTCACTGGTATGTCTGTAGGTAAATACGCATAGAAAGAAGTGAAACCTTTTTGGTGGTGATCCGCATTATTGCGGAATTCGAAGTACATGTTATCCCGGGGGGTGCTCCTGGGAATTCTTGTTGGGGGTGTGCCGCCCGAACCCTTTTTCAGGCCAAAAAAGGTCATTTCAGTTTGACATCGTTTTTCAGACCTGGCCCCTAAGAAAGTATGTCGTCTTTACCTAGATTAGAACAGCAACGAGATGGAAAAGAATGAGTGAGGGAACAGACATGGAAAAAGAAATATGCATCGCTGAAGTAATAGCGCCAAACGCTGGGGATCAACGATTTAGATCATGCGCTCCATGGTCAGATCAAAACAACAAAAATCCTTCCAGTGACTTGCTTGTTCTTTTGTAGGCATAAAAATATGCGCTAACAAGGAACCTTAAGACTTAGGTTCTTAATCTTAATGCTTACCGCTACCCGATGGGAAAGCTACAAAAGCTACATGAGCGCTTCGGATGCATAATTATGTGGTAAGTAAAGAGGGCAAGAGTTCACGTTTCATGGCCACGGCCCAGGTACGTTAGCCCTTGCCCTTGTGAATCATTTTTAAGAGTTGACACTTTTTTGTTGGTTTTATTGGGTCTCATTACCTATACATATTAACGTAGAAACGTTTTAAAAAAATCCTCGACGTGTTAATCCTGTCCAATGATTTTCCGAAAAACAGTGGGGCCTAGAACGAACTTTTGTAGCGTCACCTCATTCTATCTTGGTAGCGTTTTAGCGGATTCTCAATTTTCTTCTCTAAAATGTGTTGAGCCAATTTTTTCAATGCATCTACGTTAAACTGAAGAATTAAGTTTATCGATGTATGGCGATTCAAAGGCAATTACCTCTAACAAATAGCGGAAAATCTGAATGTCACGAAACAGCCATGTCACTCTCGCGACCAGCAACGAGTACCATTACTTTTATCACAAACAAGACAAAAAATTCCGTTGGAGGACAAACTATAAGAAAACCAGTATTTTAGTAAAAACGATAGCTTAAGGCAAAATAGTATCCCGGCTCTACAAACCAAGAAGGACATTACAAACAGCGAAGTTAAAGGAGGAGAATAACAAGGCAAATTCGTCGATTATCTTGTCTTCGAAATTTCTGGAAATTCAAACGGCGCTCATATTCGAAAACGTAAAAAGCACAAAAATTTTATTCCTTTCTACGTTTTACTATCTTTTCTAGTTTGTATTAATACAGATAGCAACGTTCAGACAGGTGCCACACTTTTTTAAACTGCCCTCAAAGTTGCGCTATTTGTGCATACTGTGATATGGCTAAGACATCTAGAGTGGTGTATCCGTATATTAAAAAGAAAATCGGGCTTCTTGAACGAGTTGTTTGTTTTCTGTAGCGCCGACAATGTAGGCGACGTTTGAAGTTTCAAAGGCTATGGCGCTGGCGCCAGCCGGCCGAAAATTTAAAAATTCGTAAAAAAATATATTTCGCATTTCCGTTAGGTAAAGACTTTAATATCCTAGAATACAACGAAAATTTTTTGATCCGAAATCACTGGTCGGTTTTTACGGAGACAATAAGGTATCAGTTTTCGTTTGTCTCATCCTCAAATAGGGTCAGTACTTCAGGCCCTCGGAGACAAACACCTATCCAAAATTTATGGGGGTACCCCACCTGGAACTTCACACACACTGACTTGATCGAAAAAACTAAAAGTGTAAACAACAAAAGCAACATATGTAGCTAGACACAATAGCCAATGGAGATGGATTCCTCGAAGTTATAAATTTTAGCCGTAGAAATAAATAAATAAATAAAATAAAAACAAATTAATAAAGCATTTCTTTTCATCCCGTAATAATCCCATGAAAATAAGAACACATGATGTCGACGTATTTGACTTGATCGTTTTACCGAGGTACGAGAATTGACTGACCTACAACACTCGTCACAATAGCTGGGACAGTGGTGGTATTTTCTACCCCCTTAATGTTGGATTTTGCGCGTTCGAATGACAGAAGCAAAAAAAACAACAACAACACTGGGAGGGAAAGAGCACATTTTTTTTGTCAGGAAATGGGTACAGCACGCGGTGTCCCACGGTAATGTGACGAAGATTTTAGGTAAACATTAGGTATCAAATCAACATATTACCTTGGTAAGTGCCACTGAAGAAATAAGAATTGGACTTAAATGAAAGAACTAATAACCCTGTAACTGATGGTGAAGAAGGTCGCAGGTAAAGATGACATATCTAATATCGCTCATGACAGAAAACATTTGATTACTAACTCTCCATTCGATCGACGGGTATCCCGTCAGGTAAATATAAAGGATTTTACCGCAAAAATGTGACACCCACAGGCATTTTTACTAGCTTGAGTTCGCTGATTTTGAAAATCATTGTTGCCAAACTCAGTTCTTGTGCTAAGGTGGAGTTTGGGGATTTTCACTAATGACGTCATTGTCCAAATGAGGGGTTTTCTTTCCTTTAACAATTACAAATTTAAAAAAGAGAAGGGAGAAAATTTAAAAAAGAGAATTTCTTTTGAAGCGTTATTCGTGTTTTGAAAATTATATCCAAAGAATTTCTGACTGTTTTTACGCTGCTTATATTAAAATACAGCCATCACGTGACACTTGACCACGCCCTCTTATAGAAAAATCACCTTAACACTTGTATATTTATCACATTGGTAGTCTTTACACTAGAGCCTAAATAAGCTAAGAAATATTTCAAGAGCAGCAAATTTTAATTACTTCAAGTAAAATAAAGCTTCACACACAACCGATTCTTTTTTACTTCAGGTTAACTTAAGGCTATTTTCCCACGCAACATAATTACGATTGATTGACGTGTTTCGCCTTTCTCAAACCTCGAGGGTGCTTACCATTTGACAAAAAATTTCGGAAATTCCGGATGGATGGTAAATGGTAAGGTCACTTTTCGGAAATTTCAACCAAAAATTGAGGAGTACGTTTTGAGGTAGTCCGTTCATTCCAGTTGGTACAAACCAAACGGAATGTTGCTTACCATCTACCAATTTCTCGGTTCCAGACGCATTCGCCCCCGGATTCAAACCGTAACGGATGTGGCAACTCTACGGTAAACTGGTAAATCGCTTACCATTATGCTTTCGACACCCCAGCCAGATTCTTCTGTCAAATGGTAAGCACCCCAAGAAACCGCAAGTAACCGCAAGTCAGCTAAGTCGGTTTTAAGGATTTTTTTCAAGTCGCTTGAAACTTTCTTGAATCGTTTCAACTTTCCAACTTCAATGACATGCAAAGTAAAGTTACTTGAGATTTTACTTAGGCCTTCACACACGAATTTTTGGTTAAGTAAAACTTAGCAGCTCTTAAGTCTTACTTATCAGCCTAGTGTAAAGACAGCCATTATTTTTTTGTTATGTACTTAGGAATACATATACAACTTTTTGTTTTTCTTGTGCAATGTTGAATCCTAGTAATTTCACAATTCACTTTGGGCCTCAAGCTTGCTAAATGCTTTGTTTTATTTGGACCTCTTTGTCAACCAGGTACCTGTGTTGCGTGGAAAGTGTCCTTTCCACCTAGTAACGAATGGTTGATGTCAATGTTATTAGCAGTGAACTGCATCAGGAAGTTGTCCGGGTTTAGAACCAGTTAGGACAACGGTGCCATTTATCTCTTTCAAGCACAGACTGTATCTTGCCCCAGTGAGGGGTCCACCTTGAGGATTTGGCTGTTGTAGCTGTATATGGCCCTCCTTGTGCAGTAGATCTACTAACAGCGTTGAGTAACTAGGAGCGTACATCATAACTTGTATGATGTAATCCCCCGTATCAGTGCTTAAGAATTCAAACAAGTCTCCAACTTTTCTCATGATGCTTTCCTGTTGATAGATGACTGCGATATGTTTGTATTGGTTTTTTGGGCTAGCTTATTATATCTCGGCCATACGTCAGATAGCTGAAGTATTTGGTTACCCACTGCAGTATAGTGGCCGAGCTCAAAGCAGATAAAATCATAACGATACCTGCATGTTGAGATTCCTCTTTGTTTTTGCCGGTCTGGTACTAAGCTCTCAGACACTTTTTGTACCTTCCCGGCCCTTTTGCAGCAATGAGATCGCTGACCTCAGCTAGGCGGAATTTTATTGCATTCTCCAGATTAGCCTGAATTTCAGACGATTACTTCGAGTCCTTTTTCACTCTTTTAACAACGTCTGAATCGACGGGCCGCTAATCCCGTCCAGTGTGACGTCACTACTCGAAAACCGGGTAGTGTTTGATTGGTTGATTCTTGTCCAAACATTCGAAGAATTATGTATAGTTAGGAGAACTTTTAGCGGGATTGCCGGATCGCATGCCTGGCATGTTTGCGTGGAGTTAAAACAATTTGAAAGCGAAAATTTCTGGGATTTAAGTCTTGTCATTTCCATCGCCAGGTGTAATGATTCTGTTTGACTTTTATTTCTTGTTTTCTTTCTTCTTCGTTAAGAACCAAATAGAGTCTTTTCAATTAAAGCAAATCTTTGTGTTTTTGAAGTGTTCCGTGTGTGTATTTTAATAAGCTTGTTTTATCTGCGTGATTACGATCGAGTTTGAGTAGTACTGCATGCAGATGACAGTTAAAATGTTAAACATGAATTACGATCCAAAAAGAGTAAAGCACTTCTGTATCATGTAGACATTTCCAGACGATATTTCTTTGTTTGCCAGTTGAAAATCGTGTTTTACTTTTTGCATGAGTTAAGGCAAAGGAGTCGTGACGTCACTGGACGGTATTAACGGCCAGTCGTTTTAGACGTTACTGAAGAAGTAAAAACGACTCGAAGTAATCGTCTGAAAAGACTCCCTTGTACAGGTGCGACACTTCTCCTACTACTTCGTGCTACTTGCCCTTTTAATGAAGTGGAGGCCGCCTCGTTGTCGCAACAAATACTTTTTTCCTGCGTTTGGGGGGATTATTTACAAGCTTTTCTTTCAAAAGCTCAATTTTCACTTTTTGTTTGAAGTCACGATAACAAATTTCTGTGCCATTGTAGACAGCATGACTCTGAAATAGTTTCATGAGTGGTTTAAGGCCAATTTGAAGCACTAAAAGCTGCTCCGATATCAATGTCTCAGAATTAGAAGATAACTCGAGAAGTTTCTCGAAGTACCAGAAGATGCCAAATAGTTGCCGAGCAACTTGTGGAAAGCCCTAGGAGTGGTTACATCTCTTACGCTTTCTCTTTTTATTGTCTCTTTATTTTGTTCATCACAAACACTTTTCCATGCCTTTGTGCTTCTAGCAGCTTTGCACATCTCTCGTCGGTCCTTGTGGAAAGCCACTCCTCAGCGTCTGTACTGAGAGAATCGCTGCAGCTCGTTTTCTTTTTAATGTGTCCATGCACCTACATTTTATTAAGCAGTCTGGATATCCTAAACTATTTGAACTTACTCGAATTTCGAAGTTGCCTTGGTCTTGTAACTTATTTAGGGAGAGGAAAATTGTAGGAATGTGAAGGTTTTGCAATAATTGGCAAGAGCTCGAGCAATCAAAGAATGGCTTATTCTAATATACTTTTTAATTATCTTAAAAAAATTGTAACGATAAATACCACATCTTTAGCCATAATTGTGTGAATTTTATATCAAAGGGTGAAGTCAATTGTCAACGCCTCGAAATTCGCAGAAACAGCGTTATATAAATTCTCTAAATGGTCTTTAAAATATACGTAGAACTCTTTGAAACCATTTCTGGATCTATTAAATTTAAAATTGGGAAAGGAAAGGAAACTTCTTATTTGCACAGTGAAGTCATAAGGAAATGCCCTAAAACTCCACCTTAACACAAACTTGAGCTTGGCAACAGCAATTTTCGAAATCAGCGTACTCGAGTTAGCAAGAACAGCTATGTTGCCAAAAATCAGACACAAATGCCCGTGAGGGTCACAGTTTGGTGGCCTGTGTAGAAAACTTAGGTAACCTTTGAGTCAATACTACGGTCCATGTATTTTCTCGCCAGGAACCGGGAGGATAGATATTCAACATATCCGCAATTTTACAGAATCGTTAATACGTAACAACCAGCCTCTCTAGTTCTTACAGCAGTAAAAAGAGTTAAGAAGACTGGTCTGGCTCAACTCTACGTCTTATTGCTATTTGCTTTTGAACTGAGCAAGCAATATTCTTACCCCAAGGAATGTCCGTGTAACCTCCAAAAACGTATTTACCCTTTCTTATTATGGTAACTGTGTCTCTTTTTCCATCGCAGCGTTTGTGAAACTGTGTACGGACGTTCCAGCCGTGCAATGTAGCCCGCCAGCACAGTAGCCAGTAAGAATTGTTCCCAACCGCTGGGTCCAGAAATTTTCCCAGATGGTAGAAGTAAGAAGAATTTGTTTTCAATATGTTTGAGTCCATGAACGCTAAAAATAAGAGGACAGTAAAATAAAGGCTTCAACGATTACAAAAAGAAGTGGTTTCTAGTGTTTTACATGTTCTGTTACTGCTGTAACTATCTGATGTCTTAAGATGGAACAAGAAGGTCTGACTAAAAACTTCTTATCGGTCTTAACGTCAGCTTCTTCCCTTAACCCAGAGACCGCAAAGCTCCATTGAGGGGAGGGGGTGCTTGGGGTGCTTTTTTCCTTTTAAACGTGAATCGTTTTTACTGGCAACCTCTAAGTTTAAAGACATACTATCTCGGTGTTCAGCCACCGAAATGAGACCAGTATTAAAAGCTCTGAAATAATAAATACTAATTTTAACACAAAATCAAAAGTAGAAACAACCATGGCCCAAAATACAGGGCAAATTAATTTTAGACAAGGCTGCACAGTTAATTTGCACTCTTAAACTCTAAGGGCAAAAACGCTTTTGAACTTGGAATGCAACAATGTTGTGCAACAAGTTAAGAGAAAATGTTGCCTGTATTACTTGACCTTAAAGATCATGTCAAAACTTCATGTGCTTTTATCAAATTAAAACCTAAGGAATTCCAAAAACCTTTCTCGTTTAATTTTTTCTTTAAAATAGCTAGCAACGAAAAAGAGGAAATAACCGCGATATCAATGATGATGATATTGACAATGTTTTCACCATTTGATAGACCCTGATCACATAGCGGCCTTTTTTATCAGAGGAAACTATAGTACAATCTCAATGTACAGTATATTTACCTGTGCAATTAACGCCGTTCCAGGAATATCCTGGCACCCTGCAGTTACATAGGAAGGATCCTTGGGTGTTATGGCATATGCTACTGCCGCGACAGTTGTGTTTTTCTGTTGCACACTCGTTGACGTCTACAAAACAGGAGGTGCTACTATTCAGTTTGTCGTTTTTCTAAATAGTCGTTTTCGCTCACAAAAGGACTACTGAAAAACAGTTTTCTCAAAACAGAGGGTCTCAATGGGGTTAACCGATAGGCGTAAAACGGCCCAAAATTTATTCGATAGCCGTATTGATTGAAATATTTTAACCGTTAGCCGTAAATAGGGTAAAAAGAGTAGTTAACCGTAAAAGTTTTGCTCCTTAGATTTGATAATTTTGAGGAACGTGCTAAACTCACTTAGAACGGTTGTGTTGCTTATTTCGCAGCTACTTTGACTCTTTACGTTCCCGCGGCGTTTCTGCTAGTTTTGCTTTTCACGAAGATTCTATTCAAATAAACTGTTATGTCTTTTATTAGGAATGGTCCAGTTTCATGGCTCACAAAAAATTTTAGTTGGCTGGCAATAGCTTAACCTTTTGTTTCTATTTTAAACAAAGAGTTCATGTCATTTTAAGAGAATGAGAAAACTGCGGCAAAGCTATTCAAAGCCGTGTACTTCTCTGCTTGGCTCCGACACTTGTGAGAGTCACAGAAATGTTCGAGTCTCAATCTGTATGCTTGTTCTTTTTTAGTTCATGTTGTACAATCTGTTCGTCACTGGGGTAAAGACCCTATCGTGGTAGTAAAAAGAGAAGAGGGTAGGAAATACAAAGCGACGCTAAGAAAGAATCAGTAGCCCCTGAAGAAAAGGAAATCACGTCAGGATGCAAAAGATGACAAACTTTTTGATTGTTAACATTATTATGTGTAAAATGATATTAGAAGTGGAATACTCTAAAAGCATGATTTATGAAATATTGAAAATTTTCAGAAGAATAACTTATTTCATCTCGAGATGATCCTAAAACATTTATTTTGCTTTAAGGATACGAAAAGATACAGGTTTATTAATATTTAACTCTTTGAAACAAAGAAATTAATTTTTAACTTTATAGTTAACCTTAACTGAAAAAAAAAATTAACCGATAACCGTAAAAGAGCCAAAATTTTAGCCGATAACCGTAAATGCCACCACCCCATTGAGACCCTCTAAACACTCTGATGATTACAGACGGAATTGATTCCAATTTGAGTCATACTACCACTACTAAATGCTGTTCTAATTAAGATTATAACAGTGTAATGGGACAGTGCTCGGGGGTAGTGCCCATCATACATACCTATATAAGCAATGGTACAACAATTACGCCATCGCGCAGGCTCTTTGACATTTTTGTTTTTTGGTTGTTGTTTTTTTTTTTCTTCCAGCCGCAAAAAAAACTCTCGCTAGATCTTGTGTTTTAATTAGTTTTATAAAATCTGAAATTACCACAAATTTTGTTAAACATATCAGACTCCAGCTATGTTGTCTCCTGACTCCACTCATTCCTAATTTCCATTATTAACTATATAAGTATAATTATCATTTAAATTACTACTATTATTATTATCATTATTATTATTATTATCATTATTATTATTATTATTATTATTATTATATTATAGTTGTTGTTGTTGTTGTTTTCTTGCTTCGTGCACTGGCTCTCATACCGATTTACTTAAGAGAGCGAGTCATAACCCATGACCAAAGGCCCCTTAGACTTCGACTCCTTTCTCAAGGACTCTAACACTTTCCTTACAATCCTTGCTGCTCCTAGTAAATAAATGTAGTTTTTTTGAAGTTATGAAATAATAATTGTTATGTCCAACTTTCCAGTCACTTATCCACAACAGTCGGTATAACTAGCACAGTTCTAATGTTCCACATCCTTGCAATTTCCCTTTTAAGCTCGTGATATTTTTAAACGACGTGATGACATTGGATGTTCATTATCCCACGTACAGTAGTTTTAACCTCATCGTTTGTACTTACACTATCAGGCACGTGTTCGTACGACCTGTCCTTCTCTTCCAGATAGCTTTTCACACATAACTTCCAATAAACTACTTTTGCAATATTGTCATGTCTCTGTTTATATTCCCTTTGGGCTAACTTTTTACACTCTTATCAATATGGTAATCAGTTATATACTTGGTCCTGAGAGCCTGTTCCTGGGCTACAAACATATATAGGTGCTTCCGTTTGATCTTCAAGTCTGCTTTTCGTAACCAGCTCCAAGTTTTTCTTACATGTGTTGTTTTGTTTCGGGTATTTCTCTTAAAAATTGACTATGCAGCCTTTTTTCCTTCCAACTGTTGAGTTTCACGTTTTTAAGATGTTTTGAATTCATATTTACAGTGACTGTTTCCTCATATTCAATTACACCAGTAACACTTATCCCTTGCAGTAGCAAGTCTAAAGAGTAATCCTCACATACACCCCAAAAAATGGTTTCCTCACCTCTCACAAACCCCTAACAACTTATTAGTTCCAGACCTCCATCCGAGCTCGATATAGTACAATCTTTCAACATCGCTCTTTGCATGGAAAGTATGTAAAATCATTCATTGTCAACACCTTTCTAGTCATTCTATCCAATGCTTTCAGTTCTTCGTTTTCCCATTACAATACCTGCTCTATACCTAAGCACACTCCCAGGTGTTAATCGTTATAACCTTATTCTTTCCATTCAATTTTGATTTTTACTCTCTTGCATTTTTTTTTTCAACTCCTTTTTGTTTCTTACATCCGCCTTCGCCAATTTCCCCCATAATCCGCCCATCCAAAAGAGTTATACACTCAAACCTTATTTTTTTCCCGGCCCTTTTCATTACCAACAAACTACACTTTTTCAACCCAAACGCCATTCCAATGTCCTCACTAAGCCACTGTAAAGTCTGCATCAACGAATCTATTTGGTCTTCATTATTCTCAAACAATTTCAAGTCGTTCCTAAAAAGCTGGTTAACCTTAAATATCTTCGCAAGAGCAGGCTACTGTTGATTTTCTCAATACCAAAGTTAATGAAATCATGCACAAACAAACGGCCCTGGAAAATGCCTCTTCTTCTAATGTGGATGACTTCCAACATCTCGCCTGATGATGATAACTCTACTTTCCATGTGTGCATACTATCAATAAGAAACTTTTTCACTTTCTTAGCTATCCCGAACACTGATCTCCAAACACTCAATAACCCAGCCATGTGGTATCATGTCATATGCTTTCCGGTAATCACTCCAAGCCATCGCCAAAACCTTTTCTTACCAATTAACAAGTTGATTGAATTTTTGAAGTCAGGCAGTGAATAAACTGAGTATAGCTTTTCTTTCACGGCAAGTAACTGTGACCTACCATAGTAGCCATTTCATGTGAGCAATATTTCAATATTATTTTCTGATCAGATCCAAAAACCCTCATTTTCAAAACGAGATCTTTCTTACATCTTTCTCCTTTGAAATTAGTTTTCTTACCAAAAGGCTTCGCACCTCGGGACAGAAGCTAGAGTAGAGTCGAAAATGTCCTATTAGAATTGCAATAATATACCTGCCTTAGGGACCGTTCATTTTTTATGGGGTAGGGGGGGCTGGTGGGATTTGGAGGAGTGTAATTTGAAAATTGTATGACCCCCCTCCAATTTCCGATTTTTTTCGCATGGCCCCCTCCCCCCCCCCATCAGAGTAATTTTTTGGAAGGCCCCCCATGAATAAAAAAAATACATAAGGTATTTAAAAAGTTAATGCATTAAAAAGTCCGTTTTGTTACATTTCACGTAATTTAGTGAAAGAAAGCTGAAAGCTAGAAAGCTGTTTTTAACAAATCCTCACTCAAAAGAATGAAAAGTCAATTTCAGCTCTTCTTGTTACTGCTCGTCCTGAGCGTGTTGTAGCTGGCCGCTCGTCTACATATTCCTCGTCTGAGGCGATAAAAGCAAGAACGACATCATTTGAGTCGTCTTCAGAGTCAGGGGCATCACTCTTGTAATCATCATCAGTTTCTTCTTCCTCACTGCTTTCACCACTGCTGTCTAGTTGACCCGATTCATTGCTGCCTCTCACTTCGGCTTGACCTGTTCTGAGAGTATTCATCTGCAGGAAGTGTCCCATAATTGTCTTCACTTTGTCACTCTTGCTGCTCTTCTGATGTTGTTTTAATAGCCCATGATGTTGTAAGTATTTGTTCAATTCTGGCACACGGAGCTTTTTTAGCTTGGCGGCATCTTCGCACAAAGTAGCCCAATGATAATCATCATAGGACTTTTCTCTTGCCTACCTACTTTCCCTTGCCCTTTCCGCCAGTCTCTTCTTTTTTTTAAACTCTATGACCTCAAGATGCTGGAGATGGTCAACCACAAACTTTGGTTTCACAATGAATGCAGCAATGCAGCATTCATCGCTCACCTACTGCAATCAAGCTACTTCAGCAACGCGGCACAAAGCAGGCTTATTACCAACCTTAAGCCAGAAGTAAGAAACAGGATGTATTGCTTCCTGCATCCTGAAGATTATAGCTCAAACGTCGGAGACACGAACAAAGAGGAAGAAGAAAACGACGAAGAAGAGGAAGAAGAGGAAGACAACGAAGAAGAACAGGAGGAAGAAGAAGAGGAACACAGCGACGACGAGATCGAAGAGAACGTCGAAAATGAGGAAGGGGACACCTCGTAGTAGTTTCATGCCCCTCCCATTAAATTTCTCAGAGAAAAGTTCTGGTAACGAGGTCAGTTCCAATTCAGGACTCAAATTATTAGTTTTAATTATATGAGCTTGACAACAACATTTTTATGAATGAAAAGAAAGTTTTTGCTATTCAAGACGGTTATTATGGTATGTTCACTGTCCTTATAAAATATAAAAGCTGTTGAGAAGTTTTCTTGTTACCCTGGAACTGTTTTAGCATATTTGTTATAAATAAAAGAGCACAATTTTTCTTCGATTTGTAAACATCTCTTATCCTATTTTTAATCTAATTTTTTCGTCCGACCCCCCCTTTCCTTCATTTTTTTTCGGCTGGCCCCCCCTTTCAAGCCAATTTTTTTCGAGTGCCCCCCCAAATCCCACCAGCCCCCCCCTCTCATAAAAAATGAACGGTCCCTTATTATATGAAATAAATGCTCTATGATAATAAAAGGTATTATGGAGATTAACGCGACTTAAATTAAGGCGAATTTAGTGAAAAACCACTTTCGAACAGATGAAATTGATGTGAAAGAGACGTGGCTACGAAATATCTGAGTGTTTCAATTAAGGGATCTTGAGATGTTACCTGTACATATATGCTGTCCGCCCTTTTTAGAATAACCTTTCCTGCAAGGACATTCGAAGGATCCTTTGGTGTTATAGCACCTAGTACTAGGGAGGCGGTCACAGTAGTGATTTCCCGTGTCACACTCGTCTATGTCTGGAAATCAAGAGTTATTGCTGAATTATCAAACTGAATCAGGTTAATTCTTATGTCTATTGAATGAGGGATAGTAATGCCATGCTTTCGAGCTCAGCCCTGCCGGCAGTTTCCAGAATTTTATCATTTCTTAACTTTATGTATTTGTATGGTTAGCCCTGTTTTGCTCCTTTTCCTTAAATTATGTATTTAGTCTCAATGTACGCTTCAGCCAGCTGTCCCGCATACCCCTCTTTAGGCGACGACATAAGTCAATGATTGATGCAGTCAAATTGGCAATGTTACAGACCTCTAGCCAGGGTCGTAAGCCACCTTCTTGACTTAAATGTTGCGCCCTAACCGTTTCTAGCGCCCTAGCTGGCTATCGGCCTACATGCCTTGTTACGTATATTATTAGGTATGATCCCGTTACATTAAAGATAGATCCCAAGTTTTTCTGTCTGTAAGCCTTTGTGCTCCTACAGTGTTCCCTGTCCCAGACATCTGTTGGTCAGAGTTGCTGCTCCCCAACCTAACTGGCACTAAGCCCGTGTGCTTAATTGGGGATGCACTTCGAGCTCGACCAGTTATCATTTGACTGTTTTAGGAAAGCAAGAATGCCAATTAGTTATTTGTTGCAATTAGTTACTAGTTTTATTGCTGTTTTGATATACGTACTTTGCAGGGTTGCCTCTAAATGAACTTTTTTTGCCTTCAAATTATGTCTGCTGTTATTATGTAGTTGGATCAAAATGGAAAGTTTTCTGTGGGGGAGATTGGAGGCCACAACTTGACACGTACCAACGCCAAAACTTTTTTGGTTGATACAACGCGTGGCATATTACTAACTGAATATGGAAACAGGTTTCTACATTCCATTTGGCTGTATTATTTTTGGCATGGAACTGAGCTTACGACTTAAGAAGAAAACGTGTTCGTTTAATCTCCATATTATGCTACCTGCACAGTTGACGCCATCCCCAGTATATCCTGGTTTGCAAGTACATGTGAAGGAACCCTTGGTGTTGGTGCATTCTGCATCATCGTGGCAGTTATGTAGTCCTGTTTCACACTCGTCTACAAATCAGCAAGTAGAGGTTAGTTACAAGAATTCCATTGACTTAAAAGTCACCTGTACAGTCAGTTTTCACTCTTTCAGTTGTTCAACAGTTGTTTTGATTATATATTTTTCTTTCTTTTAGCTCAAACAACTGATATCGTGATCTCTTGGTTAAAATTCATTGAGAAAACGTTGGTCTCAGTACTCCGATCAAGAAACGTTGCATCCATTAAGAGCCTCTTATCCTATCGTGTTGCTAGGCTACACAGTTGGTATGCAAGTGAATTTTGACTTTCGGTTCAAGTATTTCGCGCGCTTTTGGAGTGCCACCATCAGCGCTGGATAATTTTTTGCTTCTTTTTTCGTTTACGCCAACGTTTATTCTGAGCTCCTCTGCGCCTAGACGGCAAGTTTTTCTTTCATAGCAAAGTTCCTTTCATTCTTTTCTTTTCTTTTTCTTTCTTTCTTCCTTTTTCTTTTTCAGGGGCGAGAAGGGGTGCGAGGATACGAGAAAGGATTTGAACTGTTTTCAAGATCATTTGTCTCGCAAGCACACGCATAACAAGCAAGAAAAAAGAACACTGTTCACGAGAACAGTTTTACAAATCCTTTTTCGCATTTCCTAGTAGAACGGTAATATAGGAAATCCATGAAATCCTGAATTGGGGCAACCTCGGGGACGGATTTCTCGATCGATCTCGGGGGGTGTAGGTGAGATCCGTCTTGCATTTCGCGTTCGATTGCAAAATCTAAAATTTGGATTTAAAACTCAAATCCGGATTTCCTATGCCATCGAACGCACCCTAAGTTTCAATTGTCACCATGAATTGTATATCTTTTGAAAAAGTTTGATCGAATTGAAAGGGGCTAATAACTTGAGAGAAAGGCTTCGAATTAACCACAACCGCTTAAGCCCCCAATAATTAATATAACGCTCCAGTAACGCTCCTCAAGTCTCATGTTTGGAAACAGACTAATCACAATTTAGCACACCCTAAGCTTTCATTTGATACCAAGGAAACTATTTCCCATAAGGAGATGCTACGAAATTTTTAACCACTTCTCACAAAATGGCTCATGGACTAGCAATCATTTTTCAGAAATGTTACCATCAAATTCCAAGTCCGAAAATTTTGGGCGTTTTTAGAAAACAAAGTAGCATAAACGTTTTCGAATTGTTAAATTGGCAGTAGATTTTTGCCCAATTGGTCAGGCTTTCCATAATAAGGTAGCAGTGTGCCAAGTTTTTCAACTAGCGCTTGGTCGGGAGAGCACCGGTCTGCTGAGCTGGAGGTCGCGGATTCATACCCCGGCCGGACCAACACTAAGGCTCCTTAAACAACTAAGAAGAGACCAGAACTAGAAGTAGAAGTCTTAAGGAAGAAAAATTGTAAGTCCCGTAGGTCCCACGGGACTTATCTGGTACTTGTGAGACATAAAAGAACCCACACCAAAGTGCAGAAAGAGTAGGGGACGTTTACTCCTGTGGTGTGGCCAGCCTTGCCTGAGCTAGTGGGATAACCCCATGATCCTCCTTCAGGAGTCGAAATGGCTACCTGTAGACAGTGTATGTATGTATAACATCCTGCACTCGCTGCTTACCAACTAATTGGCTTAAACTAAGAGGGTAAGTGGCTTTAAAAATGCAAAATCTGCATTGTTCTATATAAAACACTCCTCACTGTTCCAAAGGGGTAAACTATTCAAAATGGCCTGCAATTCACGCGGAAAGACTTGCTCATATAAGGTTATTATTATTATTATTATTATTATTAATATTATTATTTTCTTGAATTCCCCGCACCCAAAAACTGACAACCAGAAATGCGGTGCGGGATAAGCAGACAATTTTGCGGTGCGGGATAAGCAGACAATTCTTAGCCCATTTATTGAACTAACCAACTAATCACAAAACAAAAACAACTGTTTACACTGTTTAGATACCAAAAAATCAAACAAACTGTATACGTTTGATCTGGCCAAAGTAAATGAAAAAACAAAACCACTTATAATAACTGTCAATCATCAGGAAAACACAACTGAAATCGTTACGAGGAAATGGATTACAGGATTTCAATCGAAATATACAAAAGAATTTAACTGTCCGCTTGTAAAAATCCACAATGAAACTTGTTTACTGTTCACCGAATATATACTTGCTACTTTACATATCACACTTTCTTCTCATAATCTCATGCCGGCACTTAAAACACACTGCCGACAAATGCACCTGTGCTTGGGAATTCAAGAAACCATTTATCTTTTGTTTCATTACGCTTCGCTGCATTCAGGCAAAGATAAATGAACAAATTATTATTATCATTCATTTTTTTCTTTCTTTTTTTAATCATTTTAACTTACCTAAGCAGGTCATTTCAATTTCTCTGGCGATCTCTTCCATTAATTCTCTGTTCCTTTCCCGCTCTTTAATATGCTCCTCTTCTTCTTTATTCATCGGGACTGGACAAACTGAAAAACAGCAACATATATAAGCAGTGAATTTCAATCCGAAAGATAACGACATTTTATTAACTTTGCAAAACAATAATAAATGTAACAATTATTAGTATAGGTAATAAATAATTATTTAATAGAAATAAATAATTATTTAATAGACATAAATAATAACAATAATAATTTCATAATAATAACGATAACGATAACGATAATGATAATAATAATAATAATAATAATAATAATAATAATAATGTAATAATATAGTCAATTGAGATACCTTTTGGACCCGTCCCGACTCTCTGTCTATTAAAGGGAGGTGTCCCGCTAATAGAGAGTCAAAGTATAAGGTGGCACCAGTAATTACAAGAAAATAAAGCCTAACTTATTCGCGATAAATACACATCTTTTCCATTTGTGCAAAACAGTCGAAAATACTGAAACAATGTACTGGAAAGGTGGAATCATTTTCTCAATGTACAATCAGAGGCGGTTCATTACATGTCAACGTTCACGGCGTCTAAAAGCGTAAAAGTATACACTCTGCGAACCGGAACAATGCTACAAAGTAATAAAAATTCAGTAGTCGCTTCTTTCAACGACAGTTTATACTCGTGCAAAACAAATTGTTATACAGTGAAACCCACCGTACTTCGATAACTCGAACTCCCTGCTAACTCAAACAAAGTCCAATTTCCCTTGGATTTCATCCCACTTTCCAGTCATTTTTACTCGGTTAACTCGAACTCGGATAACTCGAATTCGCCGCCAACTAGAACTGAAATTTATTTCCGTTGATCAAAAAGTAACTGTGTGTAACATGGTTACATGGTTTTCATTTTTACCCTAATTGCAATTATCTGTCATGTAGTACACCTACATTTCCGTCTTGAGGTATTCACTTCGCAAGAGTCCGTTGTCCGTGTTAGAGAGATTTCCGTCTTACAGACAGCCTAGTTACACTCAAATGACTGGACACTGGCAACACCAGAGGGTTGTCCGTATTTAAGAGGTGCTTGTAAAGGGGGAGTTGACTTTATACCAAGATTTCTTAAATTTATTTCAAATCCATTAGAGAAGAAAAATTAGAGAAAGGCAATTCATGAACGGTCTCTGAACGAAAGAAATCTTGCGAAATGTTGATCGCACATTTTTGATGAATAAATTTTTTGAAAAATGAAACAAATACAGTTGTTAACATGTTCACCATTTTCACATTGCCCATAAAACATCTTGTTTACCCCCCAAAATTTTGCATAAGTAAATTGTCTTCAATTTCTCTCATGATGACTGCTTATTCCCAGGAAAAATTGAAAACAATTCTCATGCAAAATTTTAGGGGGAAACACGTTAACACGGTATTATGGACGATGTGAAAAAATCCTCGGAATGATCTGGCGCGTTATCAGGGTCAAAATGAAAATGGTACACGCTTCGTTATGAATTTAAAATCATATGTTGCCTGTCATTAAATTCATTAAATTTTTGAATTGTGAATGAAAGTTACAATAGGGCATCATTGCACCATAGAAATATCTGCAACACTCCGTCATTCTTCCTAACGTAAATGTTCCCCTGGCATTTGATTCTGCTAAAAAAACAGTCTCTTCTTTTTCTGAATTGTAAATAAAAGCGTTACTTAAACATTGATCAACAAAAGAAATCTTAAATACCTTCTGCTACCAAAATGCAAAACAACAAGTAGACAGAAACGCAGTCGAATTGGTTAAAATATAGGTTTACTCCTTCTCTCGTGCTTATTGAATTTGTGTAATAAATACACAAACCTTTCAAATACAAAGCAAATACATACTTGTTTTTTTTTTGTTTTGTTTTTTTTGTTACTTGCAACCAGTCTAACTGCTGAATTGGAAACTTCCTTCAGCCGGATGTGCGATTTGCGATAACACGGCATTTTGAATTGAATACGCGCATGTTGAATTGAACTCTTTCGACCAGGCGTTACCAGATACACAGGGCCTGGTCACTAAGTGAAAGGTGTTGACAGGCCAAACACGACTCATAACCTCGTGATAGTGTGATACGTGACCTTATAATTTTGCTCTAACGATAGATATCTCGAAGACTGATGGGGGGCTTGTTGTATATTTCTCTAAGGGACGGACCATTAGAAAACTTATGGGGGGGGCGAAGTACAAAAAAAAAATTCGCGCAAGCGAAAATTAAATGAAAAAAAAATTCTTGCACGCCAATTAATCCTAAAAAAATGTTCATGCTATAGCCTAAAAAAAATTCATACAAGAAATTTGATGACGAAAAAAAATTCCTGCGGCTCGAAAATTCCCCTCCCCCCCCCATAACTTTTCTAATGGTCCGTCCCTAAGTAGCGGTTGATTTTGAATTAAATGCCATTTGCTCATTAAGATGTTTTTAAGGTTCGGCAAAGCAGGGTGGTACGTTTTAACGAAAGGCAGAATTCTCTTTCGCACTTCATTGTTCTTTTCTAAAGCCGACTTCAGTTCAGTAAATTTAAACTCAGAGAGGATTTTTTCTGTGAGATTGTGAGGGTAACCTCTAGCGCGAAGGCGTCTTTTAAAGTTGTAGAT